AGTTGCAAAAGATTAATTAACGGATGTTGGCCAAGGGATTTTGCAACTGTCAAAATTTATCGATATTCCACTTGTTCGCGAGATTGAATCGACAATATTGAATGTTAGGTTTGAATCAATAGAATCGATTTCACGAGCCACTGCGGTTGAATTTTGTGCATGTTGCGTGTGAATTTCAATCAAGCAAAATGAAATTGATTTATAATAGAAATTCATTCTATATAGTTGTGGAAGCGGGTTACAGGCACCAGATTGGTGATATCAGTGTGTCCTCGTAGTTCGCCTATTGGATCTGGCGCTGTACAAAAGAGTAGGCGGCATCTGTGCGTCGGTTCGAATTCCACGGAGGTTGCTGAACTTCTCCCAGCTAGAGCAATATTTTCTATTTCGAAACTTTTTCATGATGTAATCCAAGTTACCGGACCTTGGTTTCTGGTTATCGTAGTCGATTGGTAGTTCACCAGCCCTATATGATTCACATTTACCCTGTTATATCAAAGAGGAGAGTGAAAAGAAAATGAGCTCCGAATAAATTGTCACTAGACCAGCATATTAGACAGAGCTTTAGCATTCAGGCAACTTAGTTAAACCTTATACAACCGGGAGGAAAGTTTCAAACTTTGTCGCTCATCTTTCGATTCTGGCGACAAACGGCGTTTCAGATGGACCGTCAAACTATCTGTTCCTGCCAGATTTCCTCCTGACTGAATGGTGGGTCAAGGGGTTTTGAGACTGTCTGCAGAGGTTAAAAGCAGTATTGCTGAGCATTGATAAAACCGAAGCACGGATGATCGGTGAATACTTCATTTGACATTTATGTATTCCAAATGTATTTTTCTAACGATCTATATATATGCTTATCAGTCCTGACCGAACCATCCAACCACCCCATCCCCTTTCGATTGGCTTACCGAACCGCTATTTTATTTTGTTGTTTCTTACAATGAGAATGCTGTAATAGTGTGATAAAATAACATGATCAGCCTGCTTTACGCACAGGCATTCTCTAGCTAAGGAAGATTTTCCAACACAGTTCCACCAGACAGGTTATTCTGCAAGCTAACAGTTTGCGCATGGGAAACACGCCGAAATCAGTTTCCTTATGATGTGGGTGAAAATGGTGAAAAATTACCAAGACTGTCATGAACACAGTTTTCGGCCACCTCGACGTCGTCAGCCAGATGACCCACCGAGCCACAGTACCTGGGGACGGCAGTCAAGTAATTTATTGATCCGTAAACAAGACGGTGGAGACGCAAGGCAAACACTAAATGAACCAATAGCTTTTCAAGGTATCCAATTGCTGCGCGGGAACCAGTTTCAGTCGCCTAATTCCATTCTGATTGTTTTACATCAAATCGATTCGATCACTCTCAGCATCTGAAATTTCCAAGTATGCGGAAAGGAATTTGAAGATACGGCGAAAACATCCGAAATGACTGGGTATTTTTATTCCAGACTTTATCCGATTTACCGGGCAAACAGACCAACGAACAAAGCGTCCACACCCATCCAATTGCCGAAAACGACCAATAGCTTCGATGCTAACACATCACGGTGACACGAAAGACGAGTTTAGTGAGTCCTGTCTTGCAGTAGTAGTAGAGTAGTACCTCATCAACGTCTACCCAACAATCCCAGATTGTAATGGCATTTAATCAACAGCCAATCTCCAGTCCACTGATCATACGGAATCTAGGGAGAAACGATCTTCAGCTACCAAAACCATTCCACCGGGTTAAATCCATGACGTGATGCGATGGAGGCATTGAGATTGCTACGAGTTTTGAAATGCCATATCCGGGACATTCAGTGGCTTAAAGTCGACTGAATACAGTTTGATAGGGGCGGGGCGGGGACACAGGTTAAATCGATAGGGGCGAACGCAAGGACAGATTATTATAGGGCTGGCCGTGGCACACCGCGCAACTTGCATTAGTTGGGTCTCCATGACCAGATTTAGTGAGGACGTCTTTACCGGATGAGCAACGCCTAACCACGAGTTTAATATACCGATTGTCAATATAGGTTGTTTTTCCGTCGGCTGTTCATCACTCTAAAATTTGTAATAAAGTAAAATGATGTAGGGCAAGTTCAACGCACATGTACCTAAGACTTCATTATTATCCCTGAACGATGCCACGACAGACTGAGTTTCAATTTCAGCCTTCTGACAGTCTCCAAGTCGATCTAGCCAGGAAGTTAACCCCGACATCTGTAGCCAACGATTCAGTCACTCCAGCCTCCCCCGGTCATTTATGCTCGGATGAATCCGTCACGACAAAAAATGATCTCACTGTAACAAGCGCTTACGGGCAATTAGTGCTGACCGACCTTAAATGAGTGATCTGTTCTTTAGTGTTTCATACATAATTTCGAAACTGATCTAGTGAAGAACATCTGTTTCTCCGAACTATGTGCTGTCCTTAATGCTGTGATGGGCATCTCCCAGATATTGCATTGTACGGATAAGATAACACAAGCCACCATTTGTTTGCTGATCAAGCGTTGCCGAGCTAAATCGTTCATCAAGGTCGGAAGCGTCCTAGGCGTTTCTGTAGGAACGCAATGTGAAGGTAACAAGCCCTAACGTACCACAAGTGTCACCACCCCCATATATTTAGGTATGGTGGTGGGAGGAGGATAAAAAAATGATAGTAACTTCCAGAAAGGTGGGCTTTGCTATTTTGTTGAATTCATTCTGCGAAACCCTATCGCTAACCGGACTTATATTGTCAAATCGGTCTCTGAGCTGGAACCCAGCGAGATTCCTTGACTTCTGAGTACCAGATCCAACAAGGCCCAGACCGGTTCAACCACGAAGGGATCCCCCATTACCGGAACGGTGTACCATGATACCAGCCATGGTAAGTCTTCAAGCTGTTTTAATTCGGCAATAAAAAGTTATCTTTCAACAACAGCTTAGTAGGTTGAAAACCAAATTTCAACCGATCGAAAACATTGCTCATTTTCTAACTTGTTAAACGTAGTGACCATCACTCCGCCCCCAATTCCTTTCTTTCCTTTACCAGCAAGAAAATGCAACTGTTTGCACCGATGCCACTCCTAACAGAAGCCATGCATCATCAGTCCTGACAATCACCTTTACGACACTGATTTTGCTTGGAAGATGGTGGAACTGAGCCCTGGATTACTAGTACATACACCAGGGACCAACAAATAAAAGATACGAACTGTATTCCTTGATTGAAAACACTTTCACTTCGAGTATTTTGTGATTAAGGACTCTTACAATGACCCACACCGCTATTCGAAAACTGCAACAGAATGAACCATAACATTCCATCATGAAGACTTCATCAGTCGTAACTACAGTGTGTATCAAGTTGATAAGTATATATGTATTTATATTTATAAATAGAGATGTATGCATGTATGTACACTACTGACGAGAATAGATTACAATTCGACGTTTGTTTTCCTGTGTTTTCGAGTTTTTGCCAGTGCTTATGAAGGAGTGTGGAAAAGTTCACGGTTTAGGAAGCCGAACACGGTTGAATTTCGATGGATGAGTGTGCCCCGTGGAATAAAAAGGCAGCAATCGCACGGATTGCCAGTGTACAACGCAAAGGGAAACGATGAAAAGAGATGGTTTGAAGCGAATCGAGCGCAACACACACACACACACACACGCACGCACAAACACCATCGGATAAGGAGGCAGTTGAGAGAATTGGGGGGAAACAAGATAGTTCTGCAAAAAATAAACAAAAACCCAACAAACAGAATGTGGATGAGCGCGAGGCAGGCTGCCGAGCGGGTGAATTTGTGCACTGTTCGAGGTGGTGAGGGTGCAGGTAGAAACAAGAAGGGGGGGTAGTGACATGAGTTGGAGGGAAGTGCAAGATAAAGGTGCAGATTTTTACAAGCCTCCATCGATTGACAGTTTCCGGATGTGACGGATAGACACGTGTCAGAACAGGGGCAGAAGGGAAAGTAGAATGAATACAAGAATGTCCCGAATCCTAATCGAATGTGAATAAGGATGATGATGATGATGAATGCTCATTGTGAACAGATATACAGTAGGCCACCAAATGAAGATGGCTAAGAGCATATTTTTCCTGTTACGTTATATACACAGTGGATTTCGGGTCAGGAGACAAAGGGGACTGAGCGCGAAAATTGGATTCAAACCGAACTTCACTCCAGGAAGATTGAACCAGACACGTGTCATCAAAAGTACCAGTATATGGTTGTTGAATACAGGACGTGTTCAAACACAATCGAGTGGTCACAGAACGTTGTGAACAATCGGACGGAAGGCAGGAAGGGGGTTAATGAATGCCACCAGGAGAATTAGAGGCGATATACACGGACAAGGGTTGAATGTTCTAGTGATGTACCAATAAGTACTGATAATAACAATGATACGTATAATAATGGTAGTGTTATTAGTAATAACATAATAATAGTAATGATAATGGTACACTTGTAAATTTAACGCGAATAGATTGCACCAACGAAGGCGAGGGAGAGAGGGAGGCAGAGAACGTATACGGGTGTGCATGAGAAGTTCTGAAGAACACACGACTGAAACTCACACTGAGAATGTTAGGAAAATGCATGCCATCCTTTGTATTGATGTAAGTAAGGTGTCTGGAATCTATTGGCCTCTTGGACAATGCCAAATCACAGAAAATAGTTCATCGCGAAAACGCGCGCGACGGACGAGAACACAACAGACAACAAGAAGTGAGGCGTGAGGATTTAATCCCATTGTTATCATGTAACATGAAAAACTGCGCGCACACACACAAACACACACACTGTTCGCCATCTCCTCACCCTCTTAAACTGCCGGAGAAGAATGTGGTTGGCACAGATGCCGGTTCGTCCATGCCCAGTCAGATACACATCACAGAGCGAAATGATATCTGCTCCCAGGTGAACTTATTTGACGATAGCCAGCAGAAGAATAGAGCTCAGGGGAACACAGTGGAAAAGGGAAACAGTTCACTTCCACTTGCAGGGCTCTTCTAACCATTCACTCCGCTCACTGTTTCCTGGGGCCAGTTAATCTCTAGATCGTCTGAGTCGTTGATTGTATAGAATTCATCCGGTCCTGGAAGAAAAGCGGACATTGATGGTTGCGGAGCGGCCACTGTCGATGAGGTGATCGAGGTCACGGCGTTAGAGCTACTTGCCACCACCGCTGAGACGCTATCCGGACGGACGGAAACCCCTGCCGCTGCGGCCGCCGGACCCGTTAGGGGACTGTGACGAACGGAGGCACCTGAGGGCAATGTCAAACCTCGCACAGGCGATCCCATTCCATTCACGGCGTCCGCATCGGAACCATCTGGCATGAGTAACAAGCGATGATGGGGATGATGATGATTCAGAGCACGATCGCGTCGATCGCCAGACGAACCATCAAGGGCTTGTGATCTTGAGACTCCGTGACCATTGGTTGCCTCCTCATTTTGATAGGCCATCATCATGTAATGGTAGCCATAAACAGGATGGTGATGATTTGGACCGTGCGACTCATCCAAACCGTCTTCGTCCACATCACCAGGAGTTAGACTATCTACAACCCCGTCTCCTTCTTGTTCATCCGAGCGATGAACCGGATGGTGCACTATATGCCGACGACTGGAATCAGAGGCTGCTCGGGATCCGTAGCAAGAGTTTACACCCACAAGCCCAGGAGAGGGAGAGAGATGCGCAGGTCCAGCGGTGTGGTGCTGTGGCCCAAGATCTAAATCTAAATCCTCTACCAGAGGTACCACACCACCACGATGCATTGCTGATGCCATGGCTGAATCAATAATAAAGGCATTCGTGTCGTTTGCGTCACATATAACAGGATGGTGATGGTCATCTAAACCAGCGGTCAATCGGTTGTTTGGCCCAGCAGATAAGCCCGGGTTAGAGACAGGTAGACGCTGGCTCAAGGGATGAAGAGAACTATTGTTATATCCGTAATTAGAGTGGTTTGCACGGTTGGAACGCATCGTATCCGGGGACATGTAAGGAGTATCAACTGTGAAATGGGGATCAAATGAGCTGTTTATTGCTCGATACGTAGGTGGGGCATTCAGTGAGGGCATGGTTCCATTGTTGGTGTGCCAGTTGTACACGCGATGGTGTCGGCAATACATGTGATCCGGATAGGGAAGGTTATAACTGAAGAGAGAGAGGGGGGAGAAGGTTGACTATGGTATATGGAAATAATAATAATGTTCTAAGGCAACTGGAGACTTTATATGAACCGAGACCACTTCTTCATCTTACGGTAGCGTCTATAATCCAGGCAATAGATGTAAATAAGGTGACAAAACCGCTAATAAGTAAAAACAAATATAGTAAATGACTTCAGAAATCCATACGATGGTTGCATGAAAAAAATACACCGATATTAATCCGGTGCTTAGGCATGGTATATCTAGCGCTTCCTCTCAAAGTTTCATCTTCCTTATGGTATTGACTCAGAACACGAGAAATGTGAAATGTACTTTCAGTGGTTATGCGGTAGGACCACATCTAGATCCTAACTCCATATCGTCTACAATCGTCAAAGGAATAATTTAAAATGTTAACGGTTTACGAAGGCACACTACTATCCTACTGATAATAATAAGTGCCAGGTCCTCGTGACTATGGGGTTTGCCCCGTCTGCTGTTCAACACACTTGAGTGTGTAATAAAAAAATAAAAAAATAAAAAATACGATCAACATCTCTCTCTCTCTCTCTGCACGCGAAGTTTCAATTGAGCTTTATGTGGACAATGAGGCAGTGGCATCCGATCAAAAGGTTGTCGACTACGGACTAGGGCGTAGGGTTGAGGTCGTGCGGGTAGACTGGATTCTTGTCAGCAGTCGATTGTGCGCAATAAGACAAACAGCATATGCAAAATCGGTAAGCGCCTCTCAGATTATGCTTTCCGGATCGATATCGTAGACGCTCGTGGAGACCGGTTAATATTAAGCAAAGCACACCTATAGGGCTCTTTTAGTGTTTATCCCTGTCGTTCGGGATCGCGGAGACACTCCTAGTCTTACCTTACGTTCGGATCATTTTCAAATTCAATTCAGCCGACTTAAAACGTTTAAACTGACGGTATACTGTTAGGCGTCTTGTCTCCTAGGCCTGGCAATGGAATCAAATCGACCATATTTCACCCCGAAACGAATGACAGCACAGTGTTGAAGAATACCACTCGTGCATATCAACTTCCATGGACTCTTACCACGCGTTAGTTCGTGACAAACTCGTGTTACGATGACCATCCGCAACATACAGAGAAGCCGGGCCTAGATGCTAACAGACTAGCAAAATATGTTGGCCGTACTGTTTATCAAAACGAGAGCTAGAGCTACGTCAAGAACGTTCACTGAGCACTGGACGCTAACATAAGAGGCAATGAGGCCCCTAGTGTCGCCAATTGTCAGCTGATCAACGTTATTGCCTTTTTAGCACACACGAAGTGATTTACAGCAAAAGGGGTAAACCACACAATCGATGATATACTGTAAGGGGGTATGTGGGGGAACATTCAAGTGAGAATCAATTTGTTAATCCCGCTTTTAAAAAGAGTAAGATTGTAAGCGCTTGGAAACACGGAGATGGGAAGTGTCCTCGGGAAAAAAGACTGAAAGATAGAAATCCGACATCTGGGACAGAAACTTGATAAGAGTGACTGCCCGCCTGAGAATGAGATGGACGAGAAAGGGTCAATGGAAGGGGAACCACTGGAACAAGTTCAAAAGAGCAGAAACCAAAATAGTAACGATTGAAAAGAGATAACGAAGTAACTGCTCGGCGATGGGGAATCGACTGCAGGTTGCAAGTTAAAGACGGATGGCCTTACGTTGAACACGATCGGGGAGAAAAGGAGCGAAATACGAAGCTCCACCCCATAAGTGAACGCAGTATTCGAGCATCGGGAGGATTCAAGCCTTGTATAAAACGAGATGCTTGAGTGTAAAGGAACGCATTGCGCGGAACAGAAAACCGACTTCGCGTGCAACACGAGAGGCAAGTGTGCAAATAAAAGGGGACCAACAGAGAGAAGAATTAATGGATAAATTTAGGAGGGAGAGAATTCGGTGGAACGAAGAGGCAAGGAGAATAGAAGAGGAGAATAGGGGAAACGTTTAAGAGAGACTAAGAGGAGAGAAGTTTTGGAAGCATTGAAACACATGGTTGGTAGAACCCCATACGGAGATTAGTCGGAGATCGGAGGTAACAGAAGCATTAATGCTATTACGATCGTGATCGATATTGGTAATAGTTTGATGGAGTGTGAGGTAAGAAAGAGGACAATGGAGAGTGGCATCAACGGCATAGCCGTGGGTAGGATTAGATGTTTTAGACAAAAGATCGCTGATAAATAAAAGGAGGGTGGGCGAAAGTATGAAACCTTGGGGAACGCCGGCATTCACAGGGAACGACCGAAATAGCACCACATCTACTCGGACAGAGATGGTTCGCCTGCCGAAGAACATCGGAGCCACGATACCAGTTTTACAGTTTGAACAACCCTTAACCACGCATATCCGAGCGCCGGTTTTGGTTGCTGTCTTTTGGCTGTCCATTTGGATGAAGAATAATAGAAGAAAGGAAAGTTGAAAGTGGATTCGAAAGGAAAATGGAGAAGTTCAGTGGACTAAGATCAAATTGAAGAGATGCAAGAACGCCACTGTTTACGACACCCAGCCATATCACTGTGTTTCTAACCATCGGTTACGATCATCCCGAGGTACCCAGCCAGGGAGCCTAACAGGACCCATGTGACCCAGTTTCCTGGTTAGGGTTTTCATACTCTCGTGCCAGGTCTTAGCTTCACCACCCTTGGCTTTTTTCCACTCGGTATCTGCTTCGGTGAACATCGCTCGCAAAACGCATACCGAATGTGGCTACACTAGCACTCAAACTTTCAAGAAAAGCTTGCAACTTACATGGATCTTCACTTATTAGCACAATGTCGTCCGCGTACTCCAGATCAGNGGAAGTAAATCTATGCCACTATCCTCGCACGAGGATAGGGCTGTTTCCATAATCAGATCTATAACAAAGTTAAATAGAAAAGGAGAAAGAGGGCAATCCTGACGAACACCACTTTCCGTGGTGAACTCGGGAGAAAAAGTGCCGTAAGCCCGGACTCGACTTCGGCTATTAGTATAAAGCGATCGTAATATTGGAGCCACGATACCAGAAACGGGTGGAATCCGAACGTTGGTAATTTCAACAGTAGACCTTCATGCCAAACGCGGTCGAAGGACTTTGAAATGTCGAGCGAGATTGCGCGAGTTTCTTCGTGGTTATCGAGTGCAATTAGCCAGGAATGTGATGTGAGCGCAAGTAGGTCAGCCGTAGATCGACGAGGGCGGGATCCATACTGACGGTCATTCAACGAACCTTCACATTCGAGAAACGTACACAGCTGATCTGAGATAATCCTTTCAAACACTTCCGAAATTACAGATGTGAGAGTGATGGGACGGTAGTTGCTGTGGTCAGAAGGGTCACCGCGCTTTGGGACCGTCAAAATAATGGCATTTTCCATGGAGTAGGGATAGACTTAAGGTCGAGTGAAAAACAGAAAAGGCGATGTAAAATAGGGGCTAACTCCGAGGCACACATTTTTAGGACGATAGGTGGAATACCGTCCGGACCGGGTGGTTTACAAACATCCAAACTACGAAGATTTTGACGGACCTTTCTGGTTGGTATGATAGATAGAAAGGAGTGACTGGATGTGTAGGAGGAGAGTTGAACAGTAGAGTTGGCAGATAGGGTAGATTTGGAAGCAAACCGGAAGCGAAGACCTCTGCTTTTTCGTAGGGATCACAAACAAGAGTATTAGAGGAATTGTCAATGGGAGGAAAGTTGGAAGGGCAGACATTACGTGAAACTGCTTTAGCGACGAACCAGAATGTTTGGTTACCGATAGCGAAAGAAACCAAGCGTGCAGCTTTGTGACAAATGAAGCGTTCTTTAGCTCTCTGAATAGTGACCGAGCATTTGTTTCTGGCTTGCACGAACCGGTTGCGGGATACTGGATTGGGTGAGTGGCGCCAAAGATGGAATGCGGAGTTTTTAAAACGTACAGCACGGTTGCAAGTATGATTAAACTACTCAGGGGATCGTGATTTGTCGGGTTTAGAGAGGTATAGAATATAAAGATACATGCCTTGAAGAACAATATGCTTGAAGTTTGAAACAGACGTGGAAACATCAGATCCAAAACAACAACCCTTCCAGGGATAAAAAGCCAGAAAATTACGAAAACCGTCCCAATTGGCTCAATCGTAATGCCAAAAGATGTGTCTGGAGTTGGGTGGTGAAATGGCATGAAAGAAATGAGTGAGAAAGAAAATGAGACCATGGTCCCATGAACCTAATGGGGAAAGGGGAGTAATGCTGGAGAAAGGCGAGAAAATAGATGTGAGAATGAGATCAAGGGTGTGGGCACGGTCACCAATACGATCTAGGTTGTGCGTGGGGTCAACTAGCTGGTTTAGGTTGTTGACCACATCAAAAGCCTCGGTTTCGCGTCCCATGAACGTAGTGTCTGAGGACTGCTTCAGTCATTTCTTGTTGTGGGCATTGGAATCTCCCGCAATGGTAATTTGGCTATCAGGATCTGCCGCCATTAGTGTTTCAATGTTGGATGATAGAACAGCAAAAATGAAAGGATCGCTGCTGCTCGGGGAGCGGGAAACAGTACTATTATTATTATTATTATATTTCACACTTGTCTGCGAACAGACTGTGTGCCAGTCAAATCATGGTACAATAATCTTTATAAAAATAAAAACGTTCCATAAGTGGTTTGCGGGTTAAATACTGCCAGGTTTCTCAGGCCAAGGCAGGTGAATTTTCATGAGGAGATTTGTGTCTCAGTTAAAAATAAAACCAAGGGGAGAAGATTGGATAAAGTGGTGTACAGAATTAACATTTTGATTTAAACTACGAATGTCAATGAGGGCTCTAGTGTTGTGAGTTCGTAGGTAGAGTGCACATTCTGTGAGTTGTATTGTTCATTTCTGGTGTGAGAGAAGATTGGCAACCTAACCCTGAGACTTGGAGTGATGAACCAAATAAGGCCTCAAAAGGTTGGGCGTGATAGTGAGTCGGGCGACAGCAGGGCTGTCT